GTTGCAGTACGTGAAGGCCGAAGTGGGCTATATGATCGATCGCGAGCAACCAACCCTTCAGGAAACCTGAGTTCTGCTTCGGCTACAGCGAGAAGCAGAGATCAACATCACAAGTCTCATCCTCGAGCTGCATCACAATCCGCTGCCACCCGGCCAATCATCGCATCCGCTCCTAATAATACTGCCAAAGAAACATTCTTGAATTATTTCTTTGGGTCACAGGGGCCAGCGACGGGACCGAGTGCAGCCATTCCTTCATCTATCCGATTCGAAGGCCCAGTGGTGACGGACATCTTAGGAAATGAACCACTTCCCGAACAAGACATGGGGAAGGTGGTCGCTCTTGACATGAAGTCCCTGAGCAAGCATATCGAGACTGTGAGTACTCGTAATTCATAATACCAAAACATATTGACCTGGTTATAGTCAGCACCAGACTCTGAAGTGTCATTAACAACTCGAGAAGAAATGGAAACTACGCTTATCCTCTCGCTAATCAAATCTTATTTTGGGATTGTTCGTCAAACGATACAGGATCTCGTACCAAAGGCTATTATGCACCTCCTTGTTAACAATACTTCCCAGCAAGTTCAAAATCGTCTTGTCAGCTCTTTGTACAAGCCAGACATGTTTATGGAGCTACTTCACGAGGATGAGACGCTTGTTGCTGAACGCGAGCGAGTGAAGGCGCTGCTGGATGCATACAAGGAGGCGTTCAAAACCCTCTCCGAAGTCAGTGTCAAACCAACTTGACCTGCATTTATTTTTGTTGGATGACTATAACCTACATTTTGTGTGCAACTTTTTGTATTGGTTGGGCTGGTTGATGTGATAGACACGAATTCAAAACAAGATACCTTGGCAATGTAATAGAGGATGTTTCCTATCTCAAGTGGAACGAGGAACATAAGGAGAGTAAAATGAATAATATATCGTAAGGTGTACTAGATGCATATATGTATGTGCGTATGATGTGAGCAAGCTATTGATAATGGACTGCAGAGGGATATGCAATCCCGACACGACACGATACGAACTACAATGATTTAGTGGCGAGGTGGCACTACAACACGAGTGGGGAAGTGTGCAAAGAGAAGGGCGCCTGCAACACGCCTCTAAATGAGCGGAGGGTATGCTGATACGAGACGAAACTGGTCCTGACAAT